CTTGTCGAAAAATAGTAAAAAAAAAGTGAATTTCGACGCATACATGTCAAAATTTCTAAGTGTATGTGTTGAAAAATCACTGCTGCAATTTTTCTTTAAGCAGCAGTGGTTTTTCGACATATATGTGTTGAAATTCACTTTATTTTGTTTTTTTTTTTGTTTAAATATTTTTCGACAAATTGGGGTCGAAAATTGACTAAATTTTGATCTGTATGTGTCGAAAAACTATCGACGTGGTTAAAAAACAAAGAACTTCAAAATCGACTTACAAGCTCAAAAAAAGATATGGATACATACCTTAATGGGTTCTCCTTGGTCGTAAACTACCATTTTGTTGTCATTTGACTCCATTTTGGGAGTTGTGTGAGCTTTTGATTTCTTTAGTTCTAAGATTTTTTTGGAGAGTTTGTTGTGAGGAAGAAAGAGGAGGTTGAGGGGTTTGTGAAGAAGTTGAGGGGTTTTGTGTGTCTGGTATTTAAGAAAGAAAAATGAGATTTTTAATGTTTTTGTGGTATTGATTTTCAATTTATTATCTAATTTTTATTTTGGTGCTAATGAAGTGAAAAAATATTGGATATTAATTTTAGCTGCCCCCTAGAAATTATACATTTTCTGTTCAGAAATTTGGGCAATCGGTAGTTAAAGGGGCGTTTAGTAATTATGAATATATTAGAGGTTTTTTGGTACTCAAACTTTAATTTAGGGAATTTTTGGTAATTTACTCTAAAAAATGCCTTTATCTTCTTTCATAAACTCCCATTTCTCCAAAACACCAAAAAAAAAAAAAAATTAATAAAAAAAATAAAAATAGAGGCTTATCAAAATGAGTATAATATTCAGTATAGGAAGGAAAGTACATAAAAAGTTGTAATTAGTCACTTACCTTTTGAGAGTCGGGGATGGTTGAGCCTCAAGCTATAGAATCTCTGGCAAATTGGTTTGAGAGATATATAATTCTGCAGTATATAATATTACTGAATTGGTATTGGCAAATTAATTTAAGAAGAATAAGTTGCCTGATATTCTGGATGTAATTGAGGACTTTTCTGAGTGAGGAAGATTGAACTTAATTAGCTTCTCAAGTTGGAATTCGGTATAAAAATGCATGGTTTGAGATATAATATATATAGAGTCAATTGCAAACAGTACCCCTATGTAATCACTAAATAGCAAAAAAACCCATGTGATAAATAAATTAGCAAAATCTCCCCTGTGAAATTTAGTCAAAGGCAGAAACCCTCCTGGTTGACCTTCGTGTGGCTCACTCGCTGGATGTGCGGTTAATAGCTGATTTTTGGACGTGAAATGGTGAAATTGTCCATCAAAATGTATTTAAAAAAACATACACTTAATTTGATTACCAAATTTTTAATAATTTTTCAATTTAATTGTTTGCTAATTTTTTAATAATATGTTAATTTCTAAACAGTCAAATTAAAAAGAATATACAGAAATTATCTGATAATAGAAATAGAAATAAAAAACCCCATTGTACTTTACTAATTAAGATATAACAAAAATAAAATAATAAAAGTATTTATAAAATATAAGAATTTATTAATTGCAAAATCTCAAGAGTATTTGTGCCTTTTTATATCAAGTCAACACACAAATTAAAAAAAAAAATGGGCCAAGTGTTCTATTTAATCAATTTCATATGGGGATTTTTGCTAGTTCATTTATTACGAGGTGTTTTTTGCTATTTAGTAATTACACAGAGGTACTTTTTGAAATTTACTATGTATAATATATACGCAATAATGCAATATTTAATTTGAGTTGCTTTCAGGAGGTAAGCTTCCATCCTACTTCCATCTTGACTAAAATGGGCATTTTACTTTTCAACAACTAATATTCGTAAAAAACAAAGGCATCGAGAGAGACTTCCAAGTCAACTGAAAAGGTCCCAAAGACTTCCAATTTCAGAAAATTCCAAGAGAAATAAATTTATTGCTTAATTACCACCAGGGGCAAAAAAATATTTAGTTCGGATAAAGTTATGTCATAGTGCCCGAAAAGATCTACAACTTGCATGTTTTGTAATTTCTAAGATTTTATTTGAATCAGAGTCAAAAATCAATTGTATTTAATCCGCCTTAAGATTATAAGTTAAAATAATGATGATTATTTTCTCACAAAACATTTTGATGCCAGGGATTCAAGTTGCATTAAAAATGTCAGGCCATGAAAATGTTGACCAAAGATTTGCAATAAGCCATAAGAATATTAGTAGTAAGAAGGACGAAATTTAATTAGGGAATTAAATGATACAACCTTCTAATTGGTACTGTATAAAACTAAACCATAGTCTTAGGTATTACCGAACCTAACACGTAACGATACGAACGCAAGATTTGTACATGCGTTACTTATCGTATTTACACGCATCAAAGGTGTAAACAGCTGCTTACACAAAGTAAAAAAATATGCAAAAACATAACCTAGCAAACTATTGCATACAATTAATATACCAGGAGGATTATACAGAGGGTCCAGGGCCGGTCCTGAGAATTTTGGGACCCCAAGAAAATATTGAGAAAATGTCTTTTTATTGATTCAAATTATTTAGCTTCATTTAACTTTTTTTTACCGCTTATTATGATGATTTACAAGTGAAAAACCTTTCATTCTCTTTTTCTTTGAGTTGCGCTATGCCACATAGCACAGCAAATAAAATATAATAATTGTGATGCTCTATTTTTCGAATTCTCCGAGAGAGTGGCGGCGAGCTTCCGGGCCGAGACGGGCCAGGTCGATTTCTCATTGTGATGCTCTACTTTTCGAATTTCACGTCGATCCGACCCGACGGTCCAGGTCAGACCCGGATTATCGACATGGTTTGAATTGCTGCAAATGAAATCGTTGGCCAATTGCGTGCTCATTGATTTGTGTAATCATCCATCAGGTGAGTTTCGAATCGTTTGGTTAATGAAGATTTTGGGAAACTAGACGATTTTTAATTAATTTTTAATTTGAGTGATAAATGTTACAGATAGAAGATTGTTTATTGAGTATTCATAATGTTTTAACTGTTTTACTTAAGCACCGATCTAATTTTTAATCTTGATGATTAAGAATATTTAATTAGTCAGTGTTAATTAGTTGTGTAGGATCACTCTGCTTTTTTCCTGCTTAAGGGGTTGGCCTTGCGCCGCGGCGCAAAGAGGGTGTGGCAGCCATTTTGGCTTGTGTATTTTTTTTTTTTTTCTTATATTCTTGAGTTTCTTGAGAATTCATAGGGTTGGCCCACAAAGGTTATTTGAAATAGTGGATTACGTTTTGTTATGGTTTGAGAGTGTGAATGGATTACACTAATTAGACTAACAATTTGTTACCTTTTTTTTTTCTTTTTGTTTCAGGTTCTTGAGCAACCGAAGTGATGCCGAATTTGTTTGTATAAATTTGTTAATAGTGGTTTTGGATGAACATTTATTAATGGTGGTTTTGGATGAACATATACTAGATTACACTTATGTAACAGTGGATTACACTAATTTAATAGGGGATTACGTTAATTTTAATGTGGATTATGTTTATTTTATAGTAAATTTTACTTCAATTCCATAGTGGTTTTCGATAAATTTATGCTTATTTTATATTAATTTGTACTTTAATTTCATAGTGGTTTTTGATAAATTTAGTGGTTTTCATGTTATATAGTTATTATACAGAGTGGTTTTCATGTTTATATAGTTGTGTTATACATAGTGGTTTTCATGTTTATATAGAGTGGTTTTTATTTAAAAAAACTAGAAAGAAAAAAAAAACCATTTTAAAAACAAATTGAAATTAAGAAAAAAGAAAAACCATGAAAAAACGAAAATAAAAATAAAACCATTTTTTAAGTTAAAATAAAAAACATGAAAAATATAAATAAGAAAAAAATAATAATTTAAAATAAAGAACCGGAAAAAAATAATTACAAAATTTTCTTTTAAATCAAAATAAAGAAAATCATTAAACAAAATAAAAAAGAAAAGGAAAAAAAAAACTGAATTGGCGTGATAACGGGAATAATTTTTTGAGAAGATTTTGGTGTAGATTATGCGTATAATGTTTTTTAAATTAAATAATTATACTAATTAATAGTTAGTAAGGGCATATGGTTTTTCAGGCCCATTGGATTAATCTCAAATCTCATTTATAAATATAGGATTTATTTAGAATTAAAATCGCAATGAAGGGTGTTTGACATATAGCCCCTTTTAATTAGTTTGATTATGCCTCCATTTTAATTTCATGTGTTGGGCATTCAGAAGGATTTTATTTATCTATTTATTTATTTATTTATTTATTTTTTTTTATTTATTTTTTTTTTTTTCTTTTTTTAATTTGAGGGCCCTTAGGATTGGGGGCCAAAGCAATGGATTGTGCTGCAAATGTCGTGAGAGGTCTATAGCGAACTACTAAAGATTGAGCAATACCTTGCTTGGAACTACCTCAACATATTTGTCTTGCATTTCTTGTGATTTGAAGTACGCCCTACGATAATCGAGCAAAAACACCGGGGCATACACTCATTCTTAATTCATATCTACGTGCCCTGTAAAGTATAAACCATGAATATTCCATAACATGGTAGAAACTAACATACAATTACAATCCCACACATATCCCATAATATATAACATAACAATTTACAAAAAGTCTTTATTTGGCCTCATGATCAACGTACAAACAGAACACTATTAAATCATTAAAATCATACTTTAGAACTACAAGTATTTGACGATAAACGAAATGTAAATAAGTTTGATGCGCATATATTACAAATTAATAGCTAGGAACTGGAAAATGGATAAAAGATGAAAGATAATTGGTAATCAAGGATCATCAAGCAAAGGACGACCATCTTCCGGTAAATATGCAGTTATTGAATCATCCAAATGCATAATTCCTGAGATTGAAGAGAAGTCGTAAGACTCAGCAACATCATGATCATCAATGGAAGGTGCATATTCATTAATGATGCCTTCCTTTCGTAAGTAAACTTCTTTCACCATTTGAATTCCTTCCAACTCCATAGCAACTTCCCTCATAGTCGGCCTTCTCTTTCCATTCAAATTCAGACATCTCTTAGCAAGTTCGGCAATCGCCACAATTTCCTCTCTCTTCCCCTCTTTCAGCACCCTCGCATCGAGAATTTCGAATAAAAGATTCTCCTCCATCGAGTGCAAGAAATGTGTCGCCAAACTCCTTCCCACATCGGCTCTAATTGACGATATAGCTCTCTCCCCCGTCAAAAGCTCCACCACAACAACACCGAAGCTATACACATCGCTCTTATCCGTAAACTGGCTCGATTGGAAGTATTCCGGGTCCAAATAACCGAGCGTTCCTAGTACTCGTGTGGTCAAGTGCGTCTGATCTATACCAATCGATCTTGATGTCCCGAAATCAGCAACTTTGGCCCTGTACTTTTCATCCAATAGTATATTCGTGGACTTTATATCCCTGTGATAAATTGGTGCAGATGCAGAAGAGTGCAAGTAAGAGAGTGCCCCGGCTACTTCCCTTGCAATACGGACTCTCATTTCCCACGATAACGGGAACTCCTCGTTTGGATTGTGCACGTGTTGGAAGAGTGTGCCGTTAGGTATGAACTCGTATACTAAAAGAGGAACTTCGGTCTCCAAACAACACCCTAATAGTTTGACCACATTTCTGTGGTTTATCTGCGACAGAATAACAACCTCGTTGATGAACAGTTCGACATCACCTTCTTCTACCTTCATCGACTTTTTGACTGCCACGATTCTTCCATCTGTCAACATTCCTTTGTAGACGGTACCTTGGCCACCACGACCCAATACACGATTTTCATTGTAACGATCGGTAGCTTGTGCCAACTCTTTGGAACTGAATAGGTTGGTCTTTTCTAGGCTGTTGTTGTTTGAAGATAACTTTTGTTGCAATAACAAACCTCCGTTTTGTTTGAAGAACTTGAGTTTACGGTTAGCCTTGTTTTTTTTCCTGATGGACTTCCATGCCGCTATGAACAAAATTAGTGCACCAAGGACAGTACCACCGCTGATGACTGTTATTTTGGCCACCTGTGGTTTTTTAACCTTATACTTTATAGTTTCACACTGGTAACCTCCTTTGCTGTTTTTGCAAGTTGCATTTATATTTTTGCAGAAATTCAATTTTGGATCGCTACATTCATCAATATCAATGCATCCTCCAGGTATATATGGGTTCCCTTCATGGCCACTCCCGCAATAGCAATATTGGATGGAAGATGCATACTCGGGTTGACTAGGAAGTGATGATGTATTTGGTGAGATTATTTTTATGTAATTCGGACATACATTAGGATCTGAAAATGTTGATCTGTCGAGTTCCCACTCAAGTACCAGTGGTGCGGATTCGAATTCTTTGTCAAAAGGATTTAATAGATTATTCTGAAGGCCCTTGTACCTTTTGTATTCATCTTGGAACCATACTCTTTCGACAGGGAAAGCATAACCACATGAACTCTCATTAGTAGCAACTTGATTAGTACCTTGGTAAGTATAATTAAGCCCCTTAAGTTGAGGTGGTATTGTTATTCGGCAGCAGTTGACACCATTGCAGCTGTTGTCTATAGAACTATGATCACAAATTGCCATGCATCCGCCGCCTGGAGCTGTCGCGTTAGGATACAGGCGGACCGAATTCCGACAGCCCAAAACAACCAACAAATTATGTCGGCTGGAGATGGAAAATGGAGTTTTATCGAGCGACCTTACCATAGATTGTGTGTCTTGCATATCAGAGCATATCATTGGTGTAACGGGGTTCTTTACTATGACGGTACCGCGAACAGAACAATTGTGTACTTCCATACTTATGATGTTCAAGAATGGTACTTCTACTCCGGTGGTGGAGTCTTTCGTGCAGGTGATTTCGAAGGAAGAATTGAAACTGCAATGAGAACCAATGCCAAAAGGATATGGAATTGTGATATTTCCACACTTTGATGGACAACCAGGCTTGGACCAATCTACTGCTACCACCAATGTTGTGCTCAGACATAGTGATGAAATCACTCCTAGTATAAATGGTATCCTCATCATTTAATTTCTTGGAAAAAAACAATCAATCTGCAGAGAAAGATTGGAGATTAAAGTACTCGTGATGAGCACATTAAATTATATGTATGCTAGGTATTACGGGTGCATATGCGTAACATGGCATAAGAAGATTCAAATATCTGTTATTTTTCGTAGTCTCACGATAAAATGCTACAAAATTATAATAATAATAATAATAATAATAATAATAATAATAATAATAATAATAATAATAATAATAATAGGTATATCCAAGTGAAGAATCTTAAACAAACACGATCCCGGTTTTATGTTTAGTATAAAAGCTGGAAATTGATTTGAAAACATAAACAAACGTGACCTTAAAGTACAAGCTTACCCTTATAGAAAAGTTATTAATTCGGGATATTAAATAAAAGATTGGAGGTTTTGAGAGTGTAAGATTATTCTCGGATTTATTGCTGCAACTCCGGTGTTTTGGATGCCACTACTTCATCTTCGTTGCATCGTCACGAAATGTTGATTGGAAGTCCATGACACGTAGGGCTAAGTAGCCGAGACACCTTCTCTCATCAACCCAAAAATCCAACCTCTAAAACCCTTGACTCGACGACCAAGGGTCGGAAATTCATCCCCATGGAGCCCATAACGTTATTTATGCGCCCATCCGTCAGCACCCTCACCTTAGTGTTCGACCCCGAGCTCGATGTCTCCAAACTCCGTGCCTTTCCCTAACCCTACCACTGTGCGAGATACAAAAATCCTAATCCGAAAACCCACTAAGACTTGTCAACAAGGCATAGGAGGTTTCACCGAATGTGTGTCCTCGACAATTACTAAACATTGCAAGTAAGATCTTCAAAAAATTGAAAAGCTAAAAGAGTCCCTTAGGATTTTTAAAATCCTAAAAAGGGCACGATAATCTCCATTTTGCCATACATTCGACAAAATATTCTTAAGGTCAACAAAAATATTTATTCTTGAACGACTCTCACTACTTGAGACTCAGTCAAGAGTGGGGAATGGGGCTTAATGATATACCAATTCGGGCCTATCTGATTGACTCATTAATTATTAATCAATATTCGGCTGCTCATTCAACCCATATATACTAAGAAATAACCCTATTAAGGTCCTAATCCACCATAGAATATTCTCTAACGGATCTACTAATTCAATT